GGTACTCGTCATAGACGACATTTGGACAGGGATCTTTCGTTATAATACACAACTCTATAATGTCTCTATGAATTGAACTCAAGAATATTAGGTTTCATAATTTGCACTATGGCATTATATAAATCGGTTAGTACTCAAACGCACACACTTTCATCTTTAGTCAATGTACAAATAGTGTCTAAGTAATCAAAAAATCTTAACGGAATCACTCAGTCGAAATTGTATTATTGTTACAATATTCATGCAATCAACTATGCTCAGTAACTTCCGCTTGAAGCCCTTCTAGGGCTATTGCCCGTCCCAAACCCGGATAAACAAGGAGGGTAGGGTACGAGGTTAGCGACCCCATCCCTTACAAAACTAAATCGCTAAAAACACACTAACCAGGAAAAATAATTCAAACCAGTAAATTGATTTAGTCTTTCATTTATAGAAATTAATCATAGGGGAGAGAGTGTATGAAACTTTTAAAATATTTAATCACCAGAATAAAAAACATAAACCCCATTGTCCTGATTTAGATAAAAGGTGATCAACAGAAATGATAAATGGAAAATAATAATTAGCAAACAACATATTTTTCGTAAAAACTACCAAGGGGGGGTGAATGTGATAAGGTCATACTGACGTGAAGACTATAACAATGTTTTTTTGTGGATATAACTCTCGTTTCACGTAGTCGACGCTTGAATATTCTTCAATCGATGTAAAGTTATTTTTAGTATGGATTTCTAGAAATCTATAACTATGTCTTAAAAATGATTTCAATGGAAAATTGAATGTCATGAATCTTCTACGTATTTCAAAATAAAGGATGTAACTGATCCGGAATGTCATGCGCTAAGGTACATTGTGATATGTTTTCGTTTGCTGAGAAGAAAAAGTTTCAATGAACAAACTGCTCCAAGTTTAAATCGAAATTAGTTGTTTATGATGTCTTGGATATCTTTAAATATCACCTACTGAAAAGAAGCTGTGAAGTGACCAAATATTGTTCAGATATTAGCTTATGGAGTTATTAACTGTCGATGTGATCCATATCGGTAGGTATTTGCTCCTTGATTGGAGTAAATTCAATAGACATAATACATGATTCTAGACGGCGGGTGACATGACTTAAAGTCGACAACCATGACGATGATGTAATCATAGTTTATATTCCTCTAAATTTGGAACTTAATGTCAATTCATGCTTTACATCACCCAACTTTATTATTTACTCTGTTGGAGTGGATATTATTATTTCTCATATTTCACAAGTTGAAATCATGAGCCAATTGAAGCTAGACCACCATGGAAAACCTGGAAGCACTGAACGGCCGTTTCGTCCCAGTATGGGAGTCCTCAGCAGTGCGCATCCACGAACCCGCCCCCCGCGGGATTCGAACCCAGGACCTACTGGCTTCGCTCGCGAGCACTTAACCATTAGACCACTGAGCCGGCATCCAACGGTGTTAATGTCTAACTTCAACCAATCCACGAAGTTGCGCCACCATACACCATTGTCTTCAGTGAGTTCCTATCTCACAACATAACTTAAAGTCGACAACCATGACGATGCTGTAATCATAGTTTATATTCCTCTAAATTTGGAGCTTAATGTCCATTCATGCTTTACATTACCCAACTTTATTATTTACTTTATCGGAGTGGATATTATTATTTCTCATATTATTATTTCTTTTGTGGTAATGGAGGCGATTTAAATTCATAAACATTTCCCCTCTAGGTTTTACATTGTCTATGATTAACTAAATTAACTAGTTATTTATTTTGTCATGATGACATCTGTTCACTTAATGTTTCAATATTAGTTTCGTGGGGAAAATTTGCAGTTTGGCTAAATTAGTCACTCCCTTACTTATATTATAAATAAGTTGTCCTGATGTAACAAAAGGTCGACTAAATTAGGCCAGTAAACAATGAATATGATCATTTGAAATAGGAAATGATTACTAGTGATGAGTTGAAAATGAATCTCAATTTTAACATCAGTTTGTTAACCTTACAAATGAAACCAGATAATTACAGGTAGTTAGATATACCGATTGAATAGAAATGTTTCCCGCTAATCGTTATTATCTGGTTATCATATAATTGTTACCTAATTTCATATAAAAAGGATATAACTAATACTGTAGTGTAGGAGAACACAGGTGAGGACAACCGAATCATATTTAGCACAAAATTACAGTTACTTGGTAAAATAGAAAAACCATACTATAATAGTTAATTTGCAAAATATTCAATGTCTCGAACTTCGTTGTTCTTTCAATTCCGTACTAATTGCTTTCTATTTCCGCCCTTCCTTTCTTGATCTTCCCCATCTTCTGCCGCCAGACATTACATTCCTGACTCGCGTCATATACTACTTATATCAATATAAGTAGCACGTACCACAATACTATTTAAAAGTGAAATGTTTATATTTGTCAAAGCATGATTGTATTTTTTATTGGCTAGTGTTATAGTAACTAAGACTACTTAGTAAAGTTGTTGAAGTTATGCTATCTACTAAATTTCTATGGAATATTAGTTGGTTTGTAATCAGTAATTAGGTTCTTCACCAGGTCAAAATCAGCGTCAATATATTCACTATCTGAGTTTTGTTGGTCTACTTATAGAAACTTATGAGCTGTAGTACCATTCAATGGAATATGATACAAGGTAATCGGTTTGATTATTTTTGAATATACTGAGAATGATCATGCAATCACGATTACTGTAACCTTAGTAATCATTCCACACTATGCATCATTTATTTATTTTCACTGTGAAATTAGGTTTTCATCTTATTAGCTTCCTGTTGTTTTCTTTAAATACAGAATTTTCATCCTAATCCCAATGGAAGTATTAATTTTAATTTACGAAACGATAGCTGAATAATTGGTCTATTTTCTTTGTCCTTTAACCCGTTTCTAGACGCAAACAAAGATCGAGAAAATGATATAATTAACTAAATAATAATGATGATGATTGTTATCCCGAACCAGAGTATGAATAGACACTTCTACCGTGTATAATATAGAATCAAGTAAGATAAACGACCATAACAATAACAGGAAACAAAATGACTCTTATCTAAGAAAATATAGTCTCTTTGAAAAGTAAAATACATATCGCTGATGAATTTGGGATTAATTAAATACCTTTTAAAATCAGAATTATTCCTTAACGATAAGTTCTAAGTTGAATGACGTGGAACATATTACGCTTTATTGAGTCATTCAGAACAATGGTCCGATTTTCACTTGATCTGTACAGTTGAATAGTAAGTAAAAACACATATATGGAATTGGTTACTACTGAAGGATCAATCAATGCAAATATGTTAGTCTCATTAAATATTAACGGCTACCAGAACAGCCCAGTAGTAACATGACAAAGTTTGACACTAGGTGACACGAGTATGAATCCCACAGAGTGTACTAGTACATTCAAGACTGATGATACGTTCTATTGAAAAGTCTCAACTAACACGAAAATTAAGTTCACTTGTTTGTGCCAATCACTACCAACTATCGAATATCAAAAGTTATCTTACAACGTAATCATCAAATTTCTCCATCTTACTTGCTTACGCCTGTTACCTTTCGTGGAGGAGCATAAGCCGCCCACCAGCATTCTCCATCCACTTTAAGTTTAATTTGTTTATCCTGGTTAGTGTTTTATTTAGAAAGGTTGTTTTCTACGGGATGTGGTTGTTGACCATATGCCCAACCCTCCTCCTTCACCCGGGTTCGAGACCAATAGTAATCCTAGAGAAGCTACAGTCGGAGTTGTCCACCTACTCAAAAAAAAGTTTAGACAAAACTAATCTAATCAATAGTAAACCAATGTATTTATTGTACTAAAAATTACTATTCCAACTTTCACGTGTGTGTGTGTGTGTTCTCATATCACTGTGTTCATCAATTAAAAAGAGAGTTAAATACAATTTGTAAATATGCACAAATTATATTCGTAGTTGGTATAAGTTTTATTGTTTAAGATTATATACAACAGGGACTGTATTGTCACTTTCATGGAAAGAATTATGTATAAATAGTGTCATTAGTTCAATGAGGAGAATAATAATTTATTAATCAGAACAAATTAGAAATAAAAGATAGTGAAATATGGTAGTTTTTTTGTTTGAAAGCAAAACAAGAGTGAAAAGAGGTGATTGGATAAGATGAAGTAACGTAACCACTGGTGGTAAAAACAAACAAACAAACAAACTAGAAAAAAAAAGTAAAGAAACGAGGCAAGTATTACAAGTAGATTTCGGTGGGAAAAAAAATAAAGGAATTTAAAGAGAGGAGATGATCTCCCTTTGGTAGACTATTTTATTTATTCACTGGATCTTGTTTAAACAACAGATCATGAAGAATAAGTAATGGTGATTATGACATACTTATCCGTCTAGATCTTCATTGTATATAAGTTGTATGTGTATATTTACGTGCGTGTGTATGTTTATGTGTGTGTAGTTTATAAGATCTGATCAAATAAGCAAATCATTGAAAGAATACACAATAGAAACGTTGAATAACAAGATTATTGAATAAGATAAATGATCTTAATGTTTCCAAATGTATAGTCAAAAGAAGAACAGAAACATTGTCAATATTGAATTTGATTTTAAAAGAAATAAGTGAATAAAAGCTATGATAGTTAATCATCACATGATCCCCAGTTTAACATGGGCACAGGAGGAAGGGAGGGGAAATAGAAATGGGTGATTAGGATGTATGAAAAAATAGAAGCAGTATAAATTAGCTGATTGAGTACTATATATATTTGTCCAATAGAAAACTGAGTTTTTCATTGTATTTATTATTAATTAGCCACAGCAGTATGAGAATTCATTGAATTATTATCGGTAATAGTAATGGCAGTAATTTAAGTAATACATAAGTAGTATAGTCATTAAAAAACTATTTTAGTGTTGAATATATATTTTTTTGAAGTGGGAACTTTAAAAAGAAAATGCTTCTTTCTTTTTAAGTGTCTGTTTATGAAAAGAAAGACCTGATGATATGTGGTCATATTAAATAATTAAAAAGATTAACCATATAACAATGACTTAAAGACACAATGAATTCAGTAGTGAGGTGGAGTATTTCAGTATGCCAAGAAAAATGGATGTAAAAAAAAGAAGAACACTTGTGTCCGTTAAAAAAAAACAGAACAGAGAGGAAAAATCTGAAGAGAATATGAAACAAAACAAAAAAACAATTCAAAGTTATATCATAATTTATTTTATTCTGATTCACTGAGTAGACTAGATCGATTCACTAAACCTGTTGACATTGGTAATGTACCTTGATTAATTTCAAGTGTTCTAGGCACATCATAAACATGACTACCTGTAATAGAATATGGTGAACCAGGCGCTATAAGCCAATTTCTTATATGTGGTTGTGTATTCGTTAAAAATGGTGATAATCCAACTGTATTTGTTTCATTATTTAAAAGATTTCTTAATTTATTTTGTTGTATTAATGGAGTTGATGTTAATATAGCTAAACTTTGTTGTAAATCATCTGTACCTGAACCAGATGATGATGCTAAATGAATTGGTATTGATGGTGGTAATGGTAATGATGGTAAACCATTACCATTACAAGTAACTGTTAAATATTGATTTGTAAGATTTGGATATTGATTGATTTGTGATGAAAAATCATTATTATTATTATTACTACCATTATTATTATTAGTAGTAATAGTAGTATTAGTAGTAGTAGCAATAATATTATGACCATGTAATGTTGATAAAATCATTTGTGAATAAGGATTTGTATGTGTTCTTATAAAATTATATCCATTCTCATTTATGATATTTGATGAATGGATACCATTTAATTTCATTGGTGTATTATTATTATTATCTATTATTGATTTGTTCGATCATATTAGTATCATTATTGATTAATTTCACTGGATGATATATTGATTTAGTATCATTAATTCCAATAGTACTACAACTTGATGTAAATTGAAATAATTTATAATGTTTACATAAACGTAAACATTTAGCACTAATTAATAAAAAGATTAATGTAGTAAGAAATGTACAAATCACTGCTATAGACATTTCTAATAATGTAAATTGTTTTTGATATAAATAATAAGATTGATCATATAAGATTTCATTACGTAATAAATCATCTGATTGTTTAATATAATAATTACGGTTAGTATTGGTATTGGTTTGAGTATTGATTAATTCATGATCAATCGATAATGTATTATTGATTTTTGGTATATTGATTAATTCTGGTCCTTTTAATGTTACAATAACTTCTTCTGTTTCTTTTTTATCATCCCATGTAGTACATGTATATTTACGTGGTTTTTTATCTAATGTAATATTTAATTGAACTGTTGCTGATGGATAATCTATAGTTGAATTTGTTTGATATAAATATTCATTATTATGATTAATTGATGTTAAATATCTTACTTCACGTAATTGTCCACTTTCTATATAACGCCATGCTACACCTGGTGGTGTATGACTTAATATTTTATTATTCGATATAATCATATTTGTATTATATAATAGATGTTGTGAATGTTTTGGTACAGTAACTGCTGTACATGAAATTAATGCTCGACTAGTATCATCTAATAAATTAATAAAAATTTGTTGTATACGTGATGTTGGACATAATTGTTCCGGTGTTAATTTCACTAATTCATAAATATTTTTAATTTTTTGTATAGAATTGTCTTTTCTAGTCAAATGAATACATGTCATATTTAAACCAGGTAAACTATCTTTCCAATCTATAGTACGTTGAACAATCCATGATAAACGACAATTACATTCTAATGGATTCCCAGTTAAATCAAGTAATTTATTAGGATAATTAAAATATTTTTCAAATCCATCATCAATAGTTTTAATTAAATTATCCGATAATATTAATCTATCTAAACTTGGTACTTTATGAAATATTTCATAATGAATTGACTGGATACGATTACCACGGAGATTAATTTGATTCGCTGATAAACCATGAAATGAATCTTCTGTAATGAATATACCATTATCTGGTAATGTATGTTGTTCACTTAAATATAAATGATTTAATTGTAAACCATAAAATGTATATGATTCTATACGAATTAATGAATTATGTGATAAATCTAAATGTTTTAATTCAGTCATTTTCATAAATGTTCGTGGTTCAATCACTTGTAAATTACAATAGATTATACGTAAATATTCTAATTTTTCTAAACCAGTCATATTAGCTTGATTTAATGAATTCGGTATTGGGAAATCACTTTGTTGTATAAATAATTTTGTTATACCATTTGGTATATTAGTTGGTACACCATATAAATGATCTTGTCTATCACAATGTACAACATTTTCACCTTTTGGACAATGACATTGATTTTCACATAGACCTGGTTGAATATATTGAGCATTGAAATTATTCATAATAAAGAATATAATGATAGTGGATATATAGAATTGTTCATGTATTGTAAACATTTTGAGAATTAATTATGATGAATTATTGAATGATGTAGTTTCATTGAAATATTCTTGTTACTTGTTAGATTGTTTGTTTAAATATTCTGAAAAATGAAATGAAATAAATTTAATAAGAAAGTATTGTATTGAAACAAGGCTGTGCAAAAACCTGAAGTCAGTCAGCTACAACGTAGGATCAGGTACATATATATATCGTTTCAAGTTGCCATACGTCATTAGCACAATATGATGAATACCGGATTCATAAAAGCAGTTAGGTCAATAGTGGTAATAATATGAAAGAAAGATTGCATATAAGGACATAGTACATGAAGAAAGAATTAGTTCGTAGAAAGAAAAATATGAAGCGATTTTAATCTCTTAGTTTAAAGGAAGACAGAGAGTGTGTACATCGACGCCATTGTGATCGATTCTGAACCATGTCACTCAGAGTTTCTAACCACTGGTTACGATAGCCACGCGGACCCCAAACAAGTAGTCTACATTCGCCAACATGGCTTAGACTAGAAGTTAGTGACTTCAAGCACTGATGTTACGTTTTAGTTTAGTCACTCCTAACTTTCTTCCAACCGTCTCCAACACCGGTTAGCATTGCACGTCGTGGTAATCGGTGTTGAGATATAAGTAACACGTGGCCCAACCATCTCAGTCGATGAACATTCACAACCTCATCAACTGATTTACCTGAAAGCAATAGATGACCATTTCTTTCTAGTGTAAGATTGATTGAATTTAGATATTGATACTGTTGGATTCTGGATGAATGGTCAGAAGGTCCTGAGTTTGAGTCCCGCGCTCAGCATCGTAGATGTGCACTGCCCAGGAGTCCTATACTAGAACGAAACGGACGTCCAGTGCTTCTATGTCCTCAATAGTAGTTTAACATTGTTTCATTTATGATATAGATCTAAACTCAACAATTTTCACAATCCAATACCGATAAATAAAATCTTTATCGATTAAATCAAGTTGATTTGGTGGGAATTATTTAGTGAATAACGACGTAATTTTAAATATACACTAATAGGAGATATCAGCAACAGCCGTCTCCGGGAGACAACAAACTAGCTTTCAGCTGAGGAGGAAATTTGGAAAACGCGATGGAAATGGATAGGACATACATTAGACAAATCATCAAACCGCATCACAAGGCAACCCCTAACTTGGAATCTTGAAGGGAAACGGAAAAGAGGAAGACCAAAGAACACATTATGTCGGGAAATAGAAGCAGATATCGAAAAGGATGAATAACAACTGGAAGGAGCTGGAAAGTATTGCCCAGGACAGGGTTGGATAGAGAATGATGGTGGGCGGCCTATGCTCTTTGACGAGGAGTAACAGGCGTAAGTAAGTAAGTAAGTAAGTAAGTAAGTAGTGGGAGATGGTTTACACTTTCAATTGTATTTAACTATTTTGAAGATTTTTTGCATATCACCCCTATTTACATTCAGAACAGATTGATTTCACAAAGACTAAATAAACATTATTTTTCAAACTTAATTTATAAAGAGATTAAATCATCATTGGATTACACATACTTGGAGATCAAGCTTTTTGGTATAGGTCAGTAATCAACTATTTAGATACTTTACTCTGATTTATATCTTTTAATCTGTTTGTGTTAGTTTCTGGTAAATTTTGTTTTAAACTGTAGATAATTTGCTTATAGAAATAGAAGTATATTGTGGTCTTTTTTTGAAACATTTGAACAAACCAAGTGATTTATGAATGGGAACAAGTAAGTGACCGTCAGTAATATTCCATATTATCATTGTACTAAATTTAAAACGGACTAGATAAAAAAAACTTTACATAACAGATTTTTACCGGTTCTCAAGAACAATGGCGAATTCACAGGTTAATCATTGAAGCACTTAACCTTTATCAACTTTAAGATTATATTTTACAGGCTATTCGTTCACTCTAGTCAGAACAGTCGAGTAGTATCAATAGCTTCGACATAAACTTATTTCTATTGGATTTAATTCTAAGTTCTAACATATATATTCAATTACAGATATATACATGGCCGGTAAGAGTAGAGGATATTCGTAGGTTACTAGTATTCAATCATAGATGTCTTCGAAACTTTGCTCGTATATCCTGGGACCATCGAGTAAGTAACTCAGTTGTTAGGAAACGGGCACTACGTAAAGATGGCGAATCAATTGATGAAGTAGTGAAACTTCATCAGTTGAGATGGTTGGGACACGTGTTACGTATGCCCAACCACCGACTGCCTCGACGTGCTATGTTCAGTGGTATAGGAGTAGGTTGGAAGAAAGCTAGGGGCGGCCAGACCAAAACATGACACAAGTCCATGAAGTCACTGACAAGTGGACTGAGCCATGTTCGTAGGTGTAGACTATCTGGTTGGGATCCGCGAAACGATAGCGACAGATGGTTAGAAACCTTGAATGACATGGCTCAAAATCGTTTGCAATGGCGCAGGTGCATCCACTCTTTGTGTTCTCCCAAATTTGAATCTCCTGATTCCTCCTTGTCTCTTTTTTCTCTTTCCAAATTTATTTCACTGGACTATACTCTTTAAATAACATCTTCAAAGTCGAATGTTTCCGATTACTGCTTATACTCTTACTGCCTCTACCACTACGGGATTTGAATCGACAAGTGCATCTCTGTGCTAATGTGGTATGGCAACTCGGACTGATGTACGTACGTACGAAGTTCTACGTTGTTACTGACTGACTGACAGATATATACACTACTGTTAAGTTTTTAATGATGATGAAAACTACTCAATGTAAGTTACTTATTATTATTTTAATTAAAAATAACAACAACAACTGACTATCATGTATTTTGCGTGAATAAAAAATATAACTACTGAATAATTAAAATGAGTAGAACTATTTGAAAGGATAAATTGTAAATAAGAAGTAAATCTATGGTATAAATGAATCATTTCATGGATTGTTTTCCCAATATGATTATACAAAGTGATAATAATAATAATAATAATAATAATAATAATAATAATAATAATAGTAACAATAATAATAATACAAAACAAGAAGAAATATGCACAATAGGAATTATATTATACTAACTAGATAGAGACATAGACGGTAATGAAAATTCACTTCAATGATATATTTAACCGGTATCTATGAGTAATTTTGCACTTGTACACGTACCAACTATACAATGTGTGCATAAAGTTGGACGTTGTATGTGTGTGTGTGTGTGCGTGTGTATGTGGGCGTGTACATGAAACAATTCTATACTTTTGTTTTTCACGGAACTTTAAACTGTATGCCTTTAAGTAAATCTGTCAATCATAAAACCTATAAGCAACATTCTAATAAGATGAGAAAATTTGATAATAACATGTATATTCTATGAATGAATAAAGACCAGTATTGAAATGTTTCATTGAGATTTTCCTAATGGTTAGTTTTACGTTTATTTTAAGAGAAAGGACAAAATATCGACTATATGAAAATAGTATTTTTTTGGAAAAAAAAAAAGAAAAACAGTATTTGCCATAGCACCAGTACTTTTGTGTTTCGATTGGGTATGACAAATGGGGGTTACAATAGTCATAGAGAGAAAAGATTCAGGCATAATGTCTTTTTTTTATTTAGAAAGTGGCTCAAATAACAATGAAGTTGATTTCCCTAATGTTACATTACAATGTTACAATACAAAGTTGAATTTTATATGAATAATCTGTAATTTTATGATTATGTTGGAGTGATTCAGAAAATTTCTCGTCAAAGACAAACAAGGCTCAGGAAACACTAAGAAGCGTTTCATCTAATCAATGTTCACTTGAAGTTTTAGCCAGAAATATCAAGGAAGTGAAATGTCACATGTAGAGGTTTTGATTGACTGATTGCAATACTGCTACCATGTTTAATAGCATTCCAGAATCTTCGAGCAACCCAAGGACATTTAAAATATTATAAAAACCCTATATCTTTTTTGTATTGAAATGAACGTTGGAGTAAAATACTTCTCGCATACTTTGCACATTCTCTGTCGTGTTCAGGTCACTGTATAGTTCTAGCTTGGGGGTTATAGAATAGCTATCAGATTACTTATTAAAAATGGAACTTTGAAATTATAGTTATGTTTCTAAGTAATTGGTTTCATCGATTTCTAAAAAGGTATATCAATGGATGATATGAAGTAGATACAGTCTTTGGTGTGAATTTAATTTATGGACACTCATTGAGCGATGCTTAAGTAACCATGAGAATGTTCACTTACTAACTAGGACTAATAAAAGTTTATAAGTCAATGTGAGAAATTAGAATTATGATTTATAATTGATAGTTAATATTAGGAATTAGATGTAGAGTTTTCATTCACTAACTGACACCTAGTTAAAATGCTAAAACATTATTTAACCAAATCAGTGAATGAATTTCGCATCAAAACCCAAGATCTATTATCTTATATCTGATTGATTTGTCCATAAATTATAATCTCGCTCAGATTTTTTTCTTCTTTTTCAGTCATATTGACTGTATTGTGGGATACTATTAAAATTTCTTACAGCATCAACGTGATCTTAATGAGGAGTTGATATAAGTTGGATAAGTATAGTTAAACCGGAGAATGTTGAATAAATGTTCTGACTTAGTTTATAACTTCTCTGTTGAATCATAACTGTATGCCTCTAATAATTTTTAAAGTAGGATAAAATGATTACATAAGTATGCTGCTTAAACTTTTTACGGATCTTTTCCATTGATGTCATTTCATGTGGGATAAATTTCGTTCTATTTAATTTTTAGTAATTGAAGTGGGATGTTGAATGAATATCTTGAAGACCTAGTAGGAGTCTTCGGGAAAAATCATGAAATAAAACGACACTTCACTTATAATGTTGTTTACTTACTACCATATATCACAAACTCAATCAGATCAAAAATTTAAAACGGTTAAATTCCAGCTTAGTGTGTTAAAGATACTCTGCTGTGTTAATAACATTAAGTTCTTCCTGGAGAAAAATCTTATTATGAATATATGTTTGTACGCTGTTATTCAGTGCACATAACTGCTTACTGCTTTCCAAATAATTCTCTAACTGACATCAATTTGTGATAAAACA